ACTGATAGCAGATTACCAGAGGGGGTATAGCTCAGTGGTAGAGCATTTGACTGCAGATCAAGAGGTCCCCAGTTCAAATCTGGGTGCCCCCTACATAATTTGAACCTGTGTTTAATGTTATATGTATACAAGCAATGATGTGTTGATCAATTACAAAGCACTCAATTAACAGATGGGCCGTTATCATATAGTTAACCGTACTGTCTTTGTTGCCGCAACAACTATATTTCGATGCCAGCTTTAATGTTGTTGCTTTAAATCGCTCTATCTTCACTTCTTTTTTTAATGTGTGAGTAGATAACAATGTAGATGAAATGAGCGGAAATATGATATGCAGTCTTCCACCAATCTATCACAACACAGAACTCAGAAAAGCATGTGACCATACTGTTGACGCAGATACCAAAGGGAAATCACAGGGCTAGTGGCGCAACGGATAACGCGTCTGACTACGGATCAGAAGATTCTAGGTTCAAATCCTGGCTAGCTCGGATGTTTTAGCAAGGAACTCACTTCAACAATACGTCTCTCCAACATCGTCATGATTAGTCACCAACTGCATTAATACATATAGACTCTATAATGTCAAGCATTCACAGCTTTCTTGGAGTCTTATAGGAATTGTTAGTGTTACTTGCTGATCTTCTGTAGTTCAAAAACAAAATTGGGCCCTGAAGGACAAAGTAAGTATTTGTGTCACAATATTCAAAATCCCAACTCTGCTATAAGATCAATGAAGTGCGCGGTGAACCAAGTGGCTGTTTAGTATAGTGGTTAATAACATTTTTTGTCCTACAATAGTTTCACAGATATTGAATGTGCAACTGAAAACTATTTAATACAGGGGGTATAGCTCAGTGGTAGAGCATTTGACTGCAGATCAAGAGGTCCCCAGTTCAAATCTGGGTGCCCCCTACATAGTTTGTACCCGTGTTTAACGTTATATGTATACAAGCAATAAGAAAACAATGTAGATTAAATGAGAGGAAATATAATATTCAGTCTTCCACCAATCTATGACAACACAAAACTCAGAAAAACATCTTGCCATACCGTTGACACAGATGGCACAGGGAATTCACAGGGCTAGTGGCGCAACGGATAACGCGTCTGACTACAGATCAGAAGATTATAGGTTCAAATCCTGGCTAGCTCGGATCCTTGTAGACAGGAAATCACTTCAACAGTACATCTCTCCAATATATATATGAATAGTCATTGAACATCTGGTACTATGGGTTAATGGGCTTTCACCAACTGCATAAATAACCCTGAACCCTATAATGTCAAGCATTCCCAGCATTCATGGAAGCTCGTAGGGCTTTTTAGAATTACTTGCTAATCATCTGTTTTTTTCAAAAACAAAATTCGGCCCTGAATGACAAAATCCTTTAAAGTATGTTGTCACACAATATCAAAGTTCCAACTCTGCTATAAGAATGAAGCGCTTGTGGCCGTTTCAGTATAGTGGGTAGTACTCAGCGTTGTGGCCACACAGATACACATGTTTTTCCCCTGCAGTAATGTCCCAGAGACTCTATAATCAACTGATAAGAAAATAATGTAGATTAAATGAGAGGAAATATAATATCCAGTCTTCCACCAATATATCACAACACAGAACTCAGAAAAACATCTTGCCATACTGTTGACGCAGATACTAGCGGGAAATCACAGGGCTAGTGGCGCAACGGATAACGCGTCTGACTACGGATCAGAAGATTCTAGGTTCGAATCCTGGCTAGCTCGGATGTTTGAGCAAGGAAATCACTTCAACAATACGTCTCTCCAACATCGTCATGATTAGTCACCAACTGCATTAATAACTCTAGACTCTATAATGTCCTATATCCTTTTGCCATTACTACACAGGAGGGTTGGAGAGTGATCCAGACGCAGACACAAATAAATGAATTTCCGGTCCTTTGGTGAAGTTTATTGCATTACATGTTACTTGTTAGACGCTTTTATCCAAAGCGACTTACATACTCAATACTGTGGACATCCCCACAGGAGCAATTTTTATAGCAAGTTTATAATGATGTTTTATTTAGCGTTTACATACCAAGGTTTAATTACAGTCAATAGTTGTGGTGAGCATCTGCCGGGCTGGTGAAATCGGTATCCTCTTCCTCCTGTGTCTCGTCCTTTCCTGTCACCTATGACCCCTTTTATACACCCGGTGCAGCTAAACCCCGCCACCAAGTGTTTAAAATAGTATTGCACTATACATATAAATTAAATAAACTGACATGCCATCAACACCCATAAAATGCTCCTACATATGTTGTCACACAATTTCAAAGTTCCAACTCTGCTATAAGAATGAAGCGCTTGTGGCCGTTTCAGTATAGTGGTTAGTACTCAGCGTTGTGGCCACACAGATAAACATGTTTTTCCCCTGCAGTAATGTCCCAGAGACTCTATAATCAACTGATAGCAGGATTACCAGAGGGGGTATAGCTCAGTGGTAGAGCATTTGACTGCAGATCAAGAGGTCCCCAGTTCAAATCTGGGTGCCCCCTACATAATTTGAACCTGTGTTTAATGTTATATGTATACAAGCAATGATGTGTTGATCAATTACAAAGCACTCAATTAACAGATGGGCCGTTATCATATAGTTAACCGTACTGTCTGTGTTGCCGCAACAACTATATTTCGATGCCAGCTTTAATGTTGTTGTGCTTTAAATCGCTCTATCTTCACTTCTTTTTTTAATGTGTGAGTAGATAACAATGTAGATGAAATGAGCGGAAATATGATATGCAGTCTTCCACCAATCTATCACAACACAGAACTCAGAAAAGCATGTGACCATACTGTTGACGCAGATACCAAAGGGAAATCACAGGGCTAGTGGCGCAACGGATAACGCGTCTGACTACGGATCAGAAGATTCTAGGTTCAAATCCTGGCTAGCTCGGATGTTTTAGCAAGGAACTCACTTCAACAATACGTCTCTCCAACATCGTCATGATTAGTCACCAACTGCATTAATACATATAGACTCTATAATGTCAAGCATTCACAGCTTTCTTGGAGTCTTATAGGAATTGTTAGTGTTACTTGCTGATCTTCTGTAGTTCAAAAACAAAATTGGGCCCTGAAGGACAAAGTAAGTATTTGTGTCACAATATTCAAAATCCCAACTCTGCTATAAGATCAATGAAGTGCGCGGGTGAACCAAGTGGCTGTTTAGTATAGTGGTTAATAACATTTGTTGTCCTACAATAGTTTCACAGATACTTGAATGTGCAACTGAAAACTATTTAATACAGGGGGTATAGCTCAGTGGTAGAGCATTTGACTGCAGATCAAGAGGTCCCTAGTTCAAATCTGGGTGCCCCCTACATAGTTTGTACCCGTGTGTAATGTTATATGTATACAAGCAATGATGTGCAAATCAAATTACAAAGCACTCAATGAACAAATGGGCCGTTATCATATAGTTAACCGTACTGTCTGTGTTGCCGCAACAACCCTATTTCGATGCCAGCTTTAATGTGGTTGCTTTATCTTCACTTATATTTGCAATTTGTCAGTGTAACTTATGATATCATATCACATAAGAAAACAATGTAGATTAAATGAGAGTAAATATGATATTCAGTCTTCCACTAATCTGTCATAACATAGAACTCAGAAAAACATCTTGCCATAATGTTGATGCAGATACCACAGGGAATTCGCAGGGCTAGTGGCGCAACGGATAACGCGTCTGACTACGGATCAGAAGATTCCAGGTTCAAATCCTGGCTAGCTCGGATCCCTTTAGACAGGAAATCACTTCAACAGTACATCTCTCCAACATGAATAGTCATTCAGTCTTCCACCAATCTATCAACAACACCAGAACTCAGAAAAGCCTGTTGTGACCATACTGTTGACGCAAGCCCAGCCCCATACCAAAGGGAAATTCACAGGGCTAGTGGCGCAACGGATAACGCGTTTGACTACGGATCAGAAGATTCTTGGTTCAAATCCTGGCTAGCTCGGATGTTTGAGCAAGGAAATCATTTCAACAATACGTCTCTCCAACATCGTCATGATTAGTCACCAACTGCATTAATAACTCTAGACTCTATAATGTCCTATATACTTTTGCCATTACTACACAGGAGGGTTGGAGAGTGATCCAGACGCAGACACAAATAAATGAATTTCCGGTCCTTTGGTGAAGTTTATTAGATTACATGTTACTTGTTAGACGCTTTTATCCAAAGCGACTTACATACTCAATACTGTGGACATCCCCACAGGAGCAATTTTTATAGCAAGTTTATAATGATGTTTTATTTAGCATTTAGATACCAAGGTTTAATTACAGTCAATAGTTGTGGTGAGCATCTGCCGGGCTGGTGAAATCGGTATGCTCTCTTCCTCCTGTGTCTCGTCCTTTCCTGTCACCTATGACCCCTTTTATACACCCGGTTCAGCTAAACCCCGCCACCAAGTGTTTAAAATAGTATTGCACTATACATATAAATTAAATAAACTGCATGCCATCAACACCCATAAAATGGCTCCTACATAATGTTGTCACACAATATAAAAGTTCCAACTCTGCTATAAGAATGAAGCGCTTGTGGCCGTTTCAGTATAGTGGTTAGTACTCAGCGTTGTGGCCACACAGATAAACATGTTTTTCCCCTGCAGTAATGTCCCAGAGACTCTATAATCAACTGATAGCAGGTAACCGGAGGGGATATAGCTCAGTGGTAGAGCATTTGACTGCAGATCAAGAGGTCCCCAGTTCAAATCTTATCAAATCTAGTGTTATGTTTTCAGGTTAGGCTATGAGATCCAATAACAAAGATGTCAAGTGGCTTTTATCGGAGTGTCTTTAGTACTTGGAACCCCTGTTCAAATCCAGATCACAGCAGCAGTTATAGGTGTTTAACCCACTTTTTACATTACATGCTTCATAATTTTATATTTTCTCTTCTTTCTTTTTTTTTTTTAAATAGAAAATGACAAAAAGGTGTGTGTGTTTGTACCTGCAACATAGCCATGCTGTCATCGGTCTTGCCTCTCTTTGCTTTCAGTTCTGCACCTTCCACCATCAAAAGGGCTTGAATATCAATGTCTCCCCACAGTGCACATTCATCAAGACCCTCCTGTAACAGCCGAGACGCCTCCTCATTGATGTTTTTACCTTGAAAAAAACAATACCGACAACATGTTAATATGCATAACCACACAGATTCCTCTTACTAACTCCAGCTATTGAAGTACAGTTTTATACATATAAGTTACCCAAATTGAAGTAGTTGATAATACTATGCATTTCAATTTTTGAATGGTCAAATCTTCATATACCAATACCCTACCAAAAGTGAAACTGTTAGAAATGAAATAAAAATGTCCCCCAAGGATTTTTTTTTATCCAGTTTTCATACAAGTACTATATTACATAAAAGGGAAGATCACTTTTCAGTTTGACATAAGTAATCTATGCAATGTTAACCCTGCAATACACGACTCATCAAAAGAAAGTACAGAGCAACACATGAACAGACCTGGCAACGGGGCAGCAGTGCCAGGGATGTGTGACGTGAGGCTGCGGACCAAAGCCAGGCGGCAGCGCAGCCACAGAGGGGGTCCAACTCTCTCACTGGCCCCCACTGCTGTAGGGGAGTCTGCATGCTGTGTGTGTGAAACACTGCAATCCTGAGTAACCTGAAGACGGACAGTATATTACACACATACAGTATGAGCACATATACAGACACCAAGTAAAATCAATCACCATTGAAGTGAGCCAGTTTGGCTGTGTGCATACTTTACATGCAAATAAGGAAACATTACATTATCACTTTGTAGCTGCTAACAAATTCTAGAGGTAGCATTCATTCACATTCATGGTGTTCATGGTTTCATTGCTTCTTTTGGTTGTAATGTTGTCATTCTCTGTAATGTTTACGGGACGCACCTATATAAGGATTTCATATGTTGCGTTTTGTGAAATGATTTGATTCTGCAACTAATTTTTATAAAGACAATACCCGTTCACTCCCAGTCCTGGTGTGCAGTCTGTCAGATGCAGGTTTCTGAAAGCCAGGTTCGATTCCTTTCAGGATTACAGGAGACGTCAGCAGCAGCATAAAGGAGGAAATTGCCACCTCAGAACTGGAAGAGTACATTAAAATGGTGAGGATAGTCAGGAAATACTGCTCCTTTGTTGTGGCTTCCACTTACTTTAGTTTTACCTACTTTTACTTCTGAAGCAGATTCTTTAATACATTTTACAAGGCTAGTTGAGCAACGGATGATGCGTCTGACTACGGACCAGAAGATTCTAGATTAAAATCTTCCTTAAGCCAGGAAATACACACATAAGCATGTGAGCACACACAGCACACAACATACCTATCTGCAGCATTGCCTTGCTGCAGGTACAGGCTGGCCTTCAGAAGTTTGGACTCTATCGTCAGCTCCAGGATCTCCATTTCGCTACAGGACAGAGAGCTCAGTTGCTGTGAGATGGAGTGCAACCAGGAAGACGCTACTTCTAGCAAAAGGAACTACAACAGAGAAGAATACAAATATGAGTGAGTTCACACAAAAAAGCTAAAAAAATAGCTCCATATTTAGGGTAAGGTGCCAAGAATAAAACAACTCAAAGTTGAAATAACATTAGGTGACAAAAACCTGAAGTCTTACCTTCATCGTTTCTGGAGTTAGCTTTTCCTTTTTGGAATGAAAGGTCAACACTTTTGGCTCTTCTGTCTTCAGACTGGAGTCCTCAGTGTCCACTGTGGGATATAACAAAAAGTGATTCTGAAGTGAATTACCTACCCCACCTTTAAGTTGAAATGAAACTAACTGATTTCAATGCAATCCAGTGTGACATTTGACATGATCCCAATAATAATTTCAAAATAGATAACAGACAGCAGAAAGTAGTCGTGCTCGCAGACCTGGAGCAGGAGGGCCATGCAAGGTGTCACTGAGTGCCAGGACTAGTTGAGTGCGAGCAAGTTTGAATCTGAGGCACAATGTGGATCCATACAGCGTGCTGATCTCTGGAGTAAATTCACAGTTTATGAATTCCTCCAAAGCCTAACCCAAAAACAAAAAGCAAACAAATTTGGTAATTTCTTGAATATATTTTTGAGAAAGGAACAGAGTGACAGATAACAGGTTGATATACATATGCTTACAACTGCTAGAAGGGTATGTAACATTGTATGTGTCTATACGAGTGTGTGGCGCAGTGGATAGGGCGCAGTGGATAGAGCCTTGGAGTTGGGATTAGGGGGTCACAGGTTCCCACTGCAGTCAACATGTCGTTGTGTCCCTGGGCAAGACACTTCACCCCAAATTGCTCCTGTGGGGATTGCCCACAGTATTGCGTATGTAAGTCGCTTTGGATAAAAGCGTCTAACAAGTAACATGTAATGTGTTTGGCTTATTTGGACCGCTGTTTTCTAATATGTCAGGAAGACCAAAGGTTGCGATGTTATATTATATAAAGAGAGGAATTTGCACCTGGACCATGCAAACTGTGACAATGGTTATTCATTTAAATCATGATTTATGATCCCATTCTTCCACCCTTAAGTAAGTCTTATTTTAAATTCTAAATACTTCCAAAAACGTAAAAAGTACCTCAGAATTGTCCAGGAGAGACTTGTTGCTGTAGAACGTCTTCACAAGCTGCAAAATGAGCACAATTTAACATTTCTATAAAACAATGGCACATATAAAATACATAACGATGCTTACAATAATTAGACATATTTTTGGAAGATTGGAACATTGTAAGTAAAAGTATACATAAAATATGATACAGAGATGCTACACTAACAAAATAAAACAGAGAAAAGGCAGAGGCAGAGTGTGTGTTTTTACTTGGAGATTGTCTTTGGTTATAAAGTGTGCATGAGGCAGAAGGATCCCGGTCCCTTGTGTGATCTGAGCTGCCTCCTTTACAGCTTCAGTGAACAGACACAGTTGAGTTAGGGCACGGATCTGCAGAAACACAAACCCAGACTGAGAACTCTATCACAACCATTACAAGAATGCATTATAAATAAACATCAATATGTAAGTAGAGAGGACAACAATAATGCTGACCTTTAGTATTTTGCCCTCAATAGTGCGCTGGACATCTCTGCACACAGACCCAACAAAATGAAGGTAAAGAGCTAGTATGGGCAGAAGCTGAAATTAGAAACCAAATTGAAGTCCCTGTTTTGAGAACAGCAGTTCTAAATGAGGATAGACAGTCAGTGTTTGTTTGTGTACCGTGATGTAGTGGCCTGTGATGTAGAGCCAGTGGCAGAGGAAGTTGAGGCTGGTTACAGTGGAGCCGAGGGGAACCCTGTGAGGCTCAGAGAAAAGGTCCGCTCCAGGGAGCAGTTCCTCTCCGATGCTGTGAAAGGCGTACTGGAGGTCGGCCTGGGGCTGAGCCAGGGAGCAACACAGCACACACTAGGGAGGTAGGTCACACATATACACACATCCTTTACTCAAGTAGAAGTACAGATACTCGTGTTTAAAAATACTCTACTAAAGTAGAAGTACTGACTAAATTTCTTTACTCAGGTAGAAGTATTGGCTTCGAAATGTACTTAAGTAAAAAGTACCCATAACTACCAGCTGTTTTAAAGTACCTGACCTCACTTTATATTAATAGAACATTAAGGATCTTCTATTCGAATATTTCTAAGAATATCCACTTTTTCGAATTTTTCTTAGAATTTCAACTTTTTCGACTTTCTCTCAGAATTTTTAAAAAGTTGATTTTTTTCAAAGAATGTCCACTTTTTCAATTTGTTCTCAGAATTTCATCCTTTTTCAATTTTTCTCAGAATTTCAACTTTTTCTTAGAATTTAAACTTTTTAGAATTTCGACCTTTTAGAATATTTCTCAGAATTTCGATTTTTTTTCTCAGAATTTAAACTTTTTAGAATTTCGACCTTTTAGAATATTTCTCAGAATTTCGAAAAAGTAAATTTTTTCTCAGGATTTAAAAAATTTTTTTTAGAGAGATAATCAACCTTAGAAATAAGATACAACTTTAATTATCCCTAAGGAAATTCCTGTGCCAGGGTTACAAAAGATTCACTACAACAACAATTATAATAACAATAATAATACAAATGTAAACTAACAGTGCAGTTATAGAGCAAATTAAACAAGAAACAAAGATAGACAAATAATGACTGTAAGAAACTGAACAGAGAGTACATCCTCTGGAATTATTACCTTAAAGAGGTGTGCAGACATGAGACAGCAATTCGTACGCTGGCTGATATCAGCAGCACTTAAGATGTACCTGTAGATCAAAACACATCGCTCAGAAGATGGAATATGTTACAGATATATTCTTGCAACACACAAACACATGTAACCAATGATGACACTTATGAGACATACTGTGCAATCTTAGCAGTTAGCACAGCAGCCTGTAGACATCCCCAAATGCCAGCCTGGTTCAGGGTTTGCTGCAGGGAGCCACCCTGAACTGACACGCCATCCCATTTCTCTACAGCACCAGAGCTCTGTAAGGCACAGTCTACAGCTTTACTCCAGTATGCGTGTGCTGCCCTGGAGATAAAACACAGGCAGGGGGGAAATTATCACGAGAATGAAAGGACTATCATGAAACGTACACACTTTGGTAAAAGCATACAATACACAACCCAGCTGACAGATTGTTACCGTGTGTTTCCATTGTAGAACTGTAGGTTTCCCATTTCATGCAGCGCCAGAACTCTGAGGGATTCATGATTGTTGGCCTGGAGATACTCTGGAGAGAAGTTGGATCGAGATGGGGATGAAGGTTAGACTTTTAGGACCCTGACACACTGAAAAAATTAAACATTGACTTTAATTAAATGTATTGTATCAACAGGTTCCACATAATTGTATTGGGTTAGTTTAAAGCAATTATATTAAGTTGAACCTAATATATTTAATTAAAGTCAACGCTTTCGTTTTTTTAGTGCATACTTCATATAGATAATACACAATATAATGATGTCATGCAGTCTGCTATTACTCTATTTAAGACATCTAACTCACTATCACTATCCACCTTGTCAATACATGCCCTCTGTCTTGTAAGGTTTGCTTTAGAAGTATTTTGCGCTCTTACTAATGGAGGCGGAGTATGCAGCACAGACTGTGGGCATGTGGTCAGGGCTGATGGGGAGGCTGTAGAGAGCATTTGGGGAACTGTAGTCCTCCTCGGTCAGGTCGCAAGGTTGTATGTCTGGAGACGGCTTAGGAATGAAATCAACCAGGCTTGTAGAATGGCTGAGAGTTCTGCTCTGACACTGCTGCAACTGTGCCGTAAAGCCTGGAGAGACACGAACAAAACAGTGAGGGGTTTCAAACAGTTGTTGCGTGACTATGTATTGTATCTCCAATCATCCAGCAATTAACTCACAGGGCTTTGTGTATGCAAGGAGCTGCAGCAGTAAGGAGCGACTATGCTGGAAGACCTGAAGACAGTGCGGTCTTTTCTCGAGGGCTTGACGGAAACAGCTCAGTGTGTCCTCTACATCCAGAGGGACGCACACAAGGGACATGGAGTGCTGTATCTCTGCACCTTAGACACAGAACATATATGCATTCATCATTTCCTGCTCTGTGTAAAATGTTGGTAATTTTAAATCACTCAAATGTCAAGGTTTATTAATACAATTTCAATTGTTGAAATGTTGACTTTAATTAAATGAAGTATGTCATCAAATTTCAAATATAATATATTAACTATATAAGTTAAGTTGAAAGCAATAATATTAAAGGTAGGGTAAGTAAGAATGGAGAAACCAGCTCGAGTGCGCAAGAATTTGAAAGTACGCAGCCGAAAAAAATCTGCCCCTTCCTTCAGACTTCCTTACAGAGCCCCTCCTCCAACACACACAAACGCGCACATGACCAATGAGGGCACGAGATAAGTTTGTGCACAGATGGAAGGCTGACAGGCAGGTAGGCCATCTAGTTATTTTTATTTATTTTTTGCTTTTTACAGCGCCACGGCTTCCACAGATGACGTGTTTTATGTATTTATTGTCAAAGCATTTAATATATTCATTGCTATCGGATGTTAAGAGCATTCCATGGAATATAACAAAAAGTGTTTCTGAAGTGAATTACCTAACCCACCTTTAAGTTGAACCTAATATTTGAACAGGCAATATTATAACATACTACAAACAATTGTTTATATTGTTAAAGTATCTTGACATGACCTAACATGAGGCTGGCTTTAAACCTTTAAGGTCGGCTGTGTCTTGAGGACTTGAGTTAGTGAGGTTTTTTTGCATTGGTGTTTGCTGAGCAGGGTGAGGACTCCACCCTATGAGCAGCTGGGAGTCTGCGTAGCTTCTGTATGTTACCTGAAATATAGAAAAGTTAGCAACACAAATACATGTACAGTAGACACACAAGTGTGTGAAATGATGTGAAAACACATGATGGGAAAATGTTTCTAGTGGTGCTGAATGATAACGGTATCATTAGATTTCACGTAAAATAATTAGGGGATTAACATTATTATGCAAGGGAATACAAAAGCCTGCAATGTTGGAACATATGTATGTGTGTGGGCTGGGCTACCTCCTTGCCAGTGGCCTTCTGGGTCTTGACATGGTGTGGTTGAGGGACTGCGGGTCCTTTTAAGGAACTTATCCTTTCCAGTAGCTTTCTCTGAGCAAGGACTATTAGAGGAGTTACGATCAAGGCATAACGTTCCCTGGGAAAGACAGATTTAAAGAAATATAGCCGTCTTTAAAAAAAAAAGACGTTTTTTGTGTGAAAATCCTCAAATTATCTTTAATGATAATAACCTTTCGCTATATTTTACTATTTACCCCTCTGTTGATTTTACTATAGAGAGGCGAAGTCCCTCCCTTTCCGGGGGACCTCCATGGGACCTTATTTCGGAAAAAGTATGTATTGAAGTCAATGGCGAGAGAAAGATTATCTTTCGATTCTGTTTGAATTGTGCCACGAATTACCCATATGATGTTTGTCAATTGAAAAGACAATTTTGCAAGTCAAAAAAATACAAATGTGTCATCAAACTGTGAAGTAATACTTTTTTTGTGTGAAACCGCTCAATGAACTACATCTCCCGTCTCGCACCACACACCAAGACGGCCGTCACGTTGGCACATTTCACTTCTTTCTTTCAGAATGAGGCGAAAAGTATAAAAGAGGTGAAAATCACTACAAGTCTGGGCATGTTGAGAGCTGTACATACACACAAGGGGGGGTTAGTCGGTTCCGTAAGAGCCAGCATGCGGGATCGGGATTCTGGGATTTGTAGTCTTTCTAGTTGCATATTTTTCTAGTCTTATATTTCAACAGTTTTACGACAAACTGTGACTTTTTTTACATGGAAATGATTTGACAAACATCATATGTGTAATTCATGGCACAATTCAAATGGGATCGAAAGATATGTTTTCTCTCCCCATTGATTTCAATACATAATTTTTCCGAAATATGGTCCCATGGGTCGGAAGTAGATGCGCGGGACTTCGCCTCTATACAAAATACTTATTGAATCTTAGCTTCACTTTTAGATTCATCACTGTAATATGGACTTTTCTTTGGAGGAAAGAATTGTCTTACTCACCGCGTGTAATTGTTAAAAACTAAGGCAAAATGGGCCAGGCTTTCCCATTGGCCACTGTCATGGAGACGCTCCAGAGTGTGCAGCACCAGGGTGCGAACCCAACGCAGGTCCGCCTGAGTTCTGTTATCCAGCGGGGCTGAGAAGTGGAGACTGGACTCCAGTTCATCCTCAGTCAAGTCCCTGTCATACGCACTCCACAGCTAGTAGGGATGAAGATCAAGATGAAAGTCGTGTTCACTTTGTAGCTGTTTTTGTGCTTTTGATCAGATAAGAAGATGCACACTGTAGTGATAATAGTGACCATCAGTACCAGACTTCCAACATGTTCCTAAACATTACATTCAAAGAAATTCCAAGCCCAAAAATGAACATGGGATATATAGCTGTTTGTGACCCTTACCCCAAGTCTGTTCAGCATGTCCATGATAAGGTCAGTAGCCAGCAGCAGCAGTGGGGTGAAGGTGGTGTTCAGCTGGTCCTGGAGGGGGGAAGGTAGGTCAAGCTGAGCAGCACTATGCACTAGGAAAGTGATACGGCAGCTTTGATCCCACAGAGTCTGACACACACACTGCAGAGTAGTCCAGTGGCTGCCACGATGGGCCAACACCTGGAAATATTAAAGATAGACACATTAAACACAATACCTGGATTATATACTTGTGTTTGAGAGAATGTCCATGTATGTATGTGCAGTACCATGGCCCTTCGTAGATGTAAAGCAGCTTTGTTAAGTGAATCCAGCACCAAGGCAGCGGTGCGTCTCTGTGTCTCCATCAGCTTTTCCACAGTTTGAGAGGAGTCCTGTTCCTCCTTACAACTCTCCTCTGAAACAGAGTCAGCACCTCTGACTGCTGCAGAGAAAACATTAGGATATGTGCTGAAACACAAACCAGTTGATAGCTTTCCTTCTTATTTTTCAAAGAGTGTTACTCACCCTCCTTTTTATTTCTCTCTTTGTGTGCAGCCACATATTCCTTGTGAGAGGAGTGAGAGGATTCTCTCTCTTTGAGACTCTCATGATGAGAAGACTGTTGTCGCTGCGAGTTTCTCCACACCAGGAAACCAGAGTAAGCGAGAGAGAAACACAAGGGATCAAACTGCCCGTAGCTGGAACAAGAGGCATTCAGAACATCATCTTAACGGGATTAAAGGCAATTAGGTTTGCAAACATTAAACATGGCAATAGGATAGAAAAGGTTATGTAGCTGAAATCAGGTGAGTGGACCTGTTCTGCAGGGCTCCTCCATGCAGCGTGTCCAGGCCCTGGTAAAGCAGAGCTAAATGTGCCTGAGCCATGATGTGGTTGAGGTGAGACTTCCACACACTCTCCTCACGGCACATGTTCCTCAGCTGAAACTGCTTCTTCTGGCGTTGCACCGCAGACGACATCATGGCTAGCAGGTTCTCCACAGCCTGCATATCCCTACAAACACATGGATAGACTTCCAATTCAAGCGGTTATGTGAAACCATACCTGATATAAAATCAAATAAACACAGACAGATGTTACCTGTTAGTTTTCACTCTCTGAAGCATGCTCTGTGGCATTGTCTGCTTCAGTTTCTTTCGTGCATCATTGTGTGAAGGTGTGTTCTTGTTCTGCTACAGCAATTGGGGTTAAGGTTAAGATACATTTAAGACTAAGATTTTTGAATTATGGCACAAAACGTTCAAACATTAAATGCAGTGTGTCTTCTACAGTCTCGCCAACTATTTTCCAATGAAAGTAGCTCTATCTAAATCCGAAAGTCACTTGGAATATAACGTGGCATTAGTCTTTTTATTATTGCAAAGATGTTCAGAATATTGTATGTCCTTGTGTATCTACTTGTGTGTGTTGGATATTTGTGTGCACATCATTTTCACCTGTGATGGTTCATTTGCTTTCGGAACCTGAGCACTATTTCCTCTTCGGCTCGGACTGTTTCCCTCCAAACATTTTGAGGACAGTCCCATCACCCCCTCACGCCTGACAAAGAGAGAAACAATCATTAGGCTTTAACAGAAAAGGAAAAAACAGCTACCAGTAAAAAAGTGCATGGTGGTCCATACAGAAATTGACAGAAATGCATTGTTTGGTGTTTTAAATATAACCGTGTTAATTTGGTTATGAAATTAAACGATGATAATGAATTTAGGGATGCTCCGATCGCCAGTTTTGGGGCCGATCGCCGATTGCCGGAATCAGTATCGGCCGATCGCCGATCCGATCTAGTGGGCGGGGCCCAGGGCCGGCGTCATGGGCGGGCCCCATGGGGCCGGGCCCGCCCATCCAGGATTTGGGCCCGCCCATGAGAAATCAGGGCTGATTAAAAAAATATATATAAAAATATTTTTTAAATGTTTGTATTATTATGTTTATTGTTGTTATTTGTAGGGCTTTGTCATACCATTTATTTTTGTATTAAACTATGTTGAAACATTAGTATAATATAATTTTTTTATTTTGCTATGAAATTCTGAATGAATCTCTGTGCGCGAGACTGGTTTTTCGCGGGGTTGAGTTGTGTGTGTTTTTTTTTAAAAGTGAGACTCGTCACAGCAGCCTGTCAGTTTACTGTGGCGGTTAGTTTGGCTAGGCTATTATCCTTTTTTATATGTATCGGCAACAATGGATATTAGGAAGTGGTTCACGAACAATAAGAGCTCACAAAAGGATTGTGGCACTGACAACTCAGCACCAGATGCTGGCAACTTGACGTGTCTCCCGCCACCTATTCCTTCTCCTCCACCAGGTCCCGAGTCAACGTTGTCAGACGAAGCCTCTTCGGGGCCGGGCAGGAGCAGCAGTTCAACCTTTAGCAGCCCAGGCCCATCTCCCATTCTAAACGCTCGTGATCTTGGAGATTTTAGTTTTCTAGTTCCAGAGGACCTTGGCGTGGATACACCAAAACAGGTAGTCCTGGATAGTTTCCCCTCTCGGCTCTTCTCCGGGAAAAAACGTAGTTTTGCCAGCTCATGGTACCAAAACCGACCCTGGCTTGAATACTCCGTAAAAGGCGATGCTGCGTACTGTTTCCCATGCAGAAAGTTTAAGGCTCATCATCATGACGCATCGTTCACCATAAAAGACTTCAAAGACTGGAAGCATGCCTTACAAAAGGGCACGGGTCTTAGCAAACACAGCTCTTCCAAGGAACATTTAGTCTGTGAGAAATTGTGGAGAGAAAAACAAATGCGCATCGAGATTGGTCAGGAAATCACAACTCTTGTCAACAAAGATCAGCTGGCTCGTAACAAATATTACGTGGGCTCCATTATTGACATTGTGACTTTTCTCTCTACCAGCAATCTTCCTTTCCGAGGTGACCACGACTCTTTAGAGTGTATGTCCAAGTCTGGCAGTGGGTTATTTTTGTCATTGTTTGAGTATACCATCGAAAAGGACCCAGAACTCGCGAAAATTGCCCCCACCATTCCCAAAAATGCTTCCTACATAAGCCATGATATACAAAACGAAATAATTGACCTGATGAGCAAAGTTGTAACGGAGCATATTGTTGAGGAAATAGGCGACTCCTTTTACACTGTCAAAATGGATGGAACCCGAGACCCAACAGGCTGTGAAAACATTTCAATTGTACTGCGTTTTGTTGATGAGAACTATGTCATAAAAGAGAGGCTCTTGACAATCGCCACAGCAGTTGCAGGTGATGCAAAAACCCTCACACAGACACTCATTGATGAAATACGCAAAGCTGGCCTGAGCACAGACACAATTCTCAGCCAGGTATACGATGGAGCAAGTCTTATGTCGGGGAGACACGGTGGGGTTCAAAGACTCCTTCAAGATGAACTGGGCAGAGAAATCCCATATGTGCACTGCTTCAACCACCAGCTGCACTTGGTCGTTGTTCACGCCATGTCCGGTGAGAGAGCCATTGAGGATTTATTCAACATCTGTAATGTCCTCTACAAGTTCGCACAAAAGCCCACCGTTGCTGCACATTACCAGGGAAACACGCTGAAGCGTTTACTCGAACAGCGCTGGACAGGGCACCTGGCCACTGTTCAGATTATTCTGAAATCTTTTCAGGATATAGTGGAACTACTACGACACGTTGAAAACTCTGCATCATTTCCAGTTGACTTGAGAATGGAGGCAGCAGACTTGCTGAGCAGAATGTTAAAGCCAAGCTTTAAATTCCACACCCAGATAATATGCAAGATATTGTCCCTGCTTGAGCCAGCTAAGGCAAGGCAAGGCAAGGCAAGTTTATTTATATAGCACTTTCCAACACAAGGCAATTCAAAGTGCTTTACAAAAAATGAAAGAGATTAAGAAAATGGCATTTAAAATCAGTCATTACAAAGAAAAGCTAATAAAATAAACATTAAAAGAAAAAATACATGGATAAAAGTTACAGTGCAATTAAACATTAAAAGAAAAAGTACATGGATAAAAGTTACAGTGCAGTCTAAGATATGAATAGTTCAATTAAAAGCAGCGACAAAAAGAAAAGTCTTCAGCCTGGATTTAAAAGTAGTAAGAGTTGCAGCGGACCTGCAGTTTTCTGGGAGTTTGTTCCAGATATTTGGAGCATAATAACTGAACGCTGCTTTACCATGTTTAGTTCTGACTCTGGGGACAGAAAGCTGACCAGTCCCTGAAGACCTGAGAGATCTGGATGGTTCATAATTTAGCAGGAGGTCAGAAATGTATTTTGGGCCTAAACCATTCAGTGCTTTATAAACCAGCAGCAGTATTTTGAAATCTATTCTTTGACACACAGGAAGCCAGTGTAAAGACTTCAGAACTGGAGTGATGTGATCCACTTTCTTAGTGTTAGTGAGGACTCGAGCAGCAGCGTTCTGAATTAGCTGCAGCTTCCTAATAGATTTTTTAGTGAGACCTGTGAAGACACCATTGCAGTAGTCGAGTCTACTGAAGATAAAAGCATGGACAAGTTTTTCCAAATCCTGCTGTGACATTAGTCTTTTAATCCTAGATATATTCTTTAGGTGATAGTAGGCTGATTTAGTAACAGTTTTAATGTGACTGTTGAAACTCAGGTCAGAGTCCATGACTACACCTAGATTTCTGGCTTTATCTGTTGTTTTGAACATTGCACACTGAAGCTCAGCGCTAACTTTTATACGTTCTGCCTTGGCTCCAAAAACCATTACCTCAGTTTTATCTTTGTTTAATTGGAGAAAGTTCTGACACATCCAGTCATTGATTTGTTCAATGCACTTACTCAGTGTTTGAATTGGAGCATAGTCTCCTGGTGAAATTGTTACGTAAATTTGTGTGTCATCTGCATAGCTATGGTAACTTATTTTGTTGTTCTTCATTATCTGAGCCAGTGGTAGCATGTAGATGTTAAAGAGAAGAGGCCCCAAGATGGAGCCTTGAGGAACCCCACATGTCATATTTGTCAACTCAGATGTGTATTTACCTATAGAAACAAAGTTGTTTCTGTCCTTTAAGTAGGATTCAAACCAATTCAGAACTGTTTCCGAAAGTCCCACCCAGTTCTCCAGTCGGTCTAGTAATATGCTGTGGTCAACAGTGTCAAACGCAGCACTGAGATCTAATAATACTAACACTGAAGTTCTGCCACTGTCTGTGTTTAAGTGGATGTCATTAAAGACCTTTACAAGAGCAGTCTCAGTGCTGTGGTTTGGACGAAAGCCTGACTGGAACACATCAAAACAGTTATTTAAATGCAAGAAATTACTCAACTGTTGAAAAACAACTTTTTCAATGATTTTACCTAGAAATGGGAGGTTTGATATGGGCCTGTAATTGTTCATTACTGAAGCATCTAGATTATTCTTTTTTAAGAGCGGTTTAATGACTGCAGTTTTCAGGGCCTGTGGAAAAATACCTGAGTGAAGAGATTTGTTTACTATATGAAGTAGATCTGAGGCCATGCAAGGCAAAACATCTTTGAAAAATCCTGTTGGAATAATATCAAGGCAGCAAGAGGAGGATTTCAGAAGTTGAATAATGTCCTCTAGGTTTTTATCATTAATCTGATGGAATTGTGTCATGATGTCTGAATTGATGTTAAGTGGAGATAGGGACAACACATTTGCTGTTCCTGATGCAGAGGCACTGACTGCTTGTCTGATTTTCTGAATTTTGTCAGTGAAAAAGGAGGCAAAATCATTGCACGCCCTGGTGGATAGAAATTCAGAGGCTACTGACACTGGGGGGTTAGTTAGTCTGTCGACGGTAGCAAACAAGGCACGTGCGTTGTTTTTGTTTTTGGTAATGATGTCAGAGAAGAACGATTGTCGTGCGTTTTTCAATTCCAAATTATAAAGGCCAAGTCTCTCTTTATAGATTTCAAAGTGAACCTGGAGATTTGTTTTTCGCCACCTGCGTTCAGCTTTTCGACATTCTCTTTTTTCTGTTCTCACGGTCATGGCCTTTCTCCATGGAGATATTTTCTTGCCAGACACTTCCTTTACCTTAGTTGGAGCAATGGCATCTATAACATTTTTAATTTTTGAATTAAAATGATCTACTAGCTCATTTACTGAGATGTTGGCAGGGGCAAGTGTGGAAGAGAAATTCTGAGTAAACATTTCCCTAGTATTTTCAGTTAAATATCGCTTTGTGGTTACCTCTTTTTGAACATTTTTGTGAACAGAAATAGAGCTCTCAAAGAAAACACAGGAATGGTCAGAGAGTGCAACATCAGTCACCACAACCTTAGAGATATTCAGACCCTTTGAGATAATTAAGTCCAGAGTGTGCCCCTTATTGTGCGTGGGCTCCGTCACATGCTGAGTCAGTCCATAGCTATCAAGAACACAACACAGTTCTTTAGCCCCTCTGTCCTGGGGGTTGTCAACATGGATGTTAAAATCACCAACAATGACTAGACGGTCAAAGTCAATACACACTATAGACAGCAGTTCAGTAAAGTCATCAAAAAAGCTTGCACAGTATTTGGGTGGTCTATAGATATTTAGGAACAGAGCTCGAGAGGAGCATTTCAGCCGAAGGGCCACATATTCAAAAGAATCAAAGTTTCCATACGATGTCTTCCTGCATTGAAGGGAATCATTGAACAGAATAGCAACTCCACCCCCTTTCTTATGCATTCTTTCCTGACTCATAAAACTAAAGTTGGGAGGGGTTGATTCGATAAGAACAGCTGCACTGTTATTTTGTTCAATCCAAGTTTCTGTTAAAAACATAAAATCGAGATTGTGCTCAGTGATTAAATCATTGATTAAAAATGTTTTTCCTGCCAAAGACCTGACATTTAATAAAGCTAGTTTAAGTTTGTTAAACACAATATCAGTAATGTTTTTTGTAACAAGCTGTGGCTGACATGGAATCACTGCTAAATTAGATACACTCACACAAACGTTTGAGCGCTTCCTGTTTCTATGATTCACCGCTCTTAATCTATTACCTATCAACACAGATATCGGCAAAGCTACTGGCAGGCAGGGCCCCGACATGTCCTGGAAAGAGTTGAGAGTGCCATACGCCCTTGAGCCTGGACCCATCACATATCAGTAAGAGTTTGTTGTGTTTTGTACACACACATCCTTATCAGGCTTCGGAGACTGCAGAAGCCCCCTCGAAGGGAGGGGAGGTGGTCGACGTAGGCACGGTGATGGAGACGGGCTAGATGGTGCGGGGGTAGAGGACATGCTGCCAGGGGGGGGAGGTGGTTGACGTAGGCGCGGTGATGAGGACGGGGGAGATGGTGCGCGTCTCCGCGGTGATTTTGGTGGGTGTCGTTGAGGAGCGGGGGTAAAGGACATGGTGCCAGCCCTGCGTATCGCCTTCGTTTGGTCTTTGAACTCCAGGAAGGAATCGGTGCCAACCCTCTGTATCTCCTTTGTGTGTTCATCGATCTCCAGGAGGGTGGGCGAGGGTGAAAGGGTGAACGGAGTATCCTCAAAGGCGTTGACAGGGGGGGGGGGCAGTGGAGACTCCTCCATGTGTCTCATATGTCTCCCATAATCAGAACATTCCTCAGGCGGGTGCAGTGATAATTCTTCAGGGTTTTCTGCGTGATGTGTTGTGTCTTTCTCGTGTTTTGATTCCTCTTGCCGCTTGTCCTTGGCAGAGGGAACAGATTGATGACGCAGGCAGTTGAATATGTTAGAGATAAACAATTTCACTCCTGACTTGTTCAGGCAAACTCCATTTGCCTTGAAAAGATGTCTGCGATCCCAGAAAAAGTTAAAATTGTCAATAAAATGAACAGAATGGTCAGTACAGGCCGTTGAAAGCCAGGTGTTCAGTGCAAACAATCTGCTGAATCTCTCCACTCCTCTTCTGACTGGCGGTAGAGGGCCACTGATGAACACATCTGCATTTAGAGAGCTGGCAGTTTCCAACAAACATTTAAAGTCTTCTTTCAGCACTTCTGACTGTTGTTTCATAACATCATTTGTTCCAATGTGCAGTACCACATTCTTCACAATCGGATGTTCAGCCCCAATATGCAGGATCTTCTCAGCCAAGTCAGAGACCACATCCTTGGGAAAACAGAGTACTTTGGTGTTGTTCTTATTACACAGACCTTTTACATCTCTTACAGCAGAGTCACCCACAATCAGAGTTTCAGGCCCAGTCGTTAGCTTTCCCTCTAGCCTTTTACTTTTAGAGTAGCTATTGGTCCTTACCCTGCTGCGTGAAGAGGACAGGTTATCCAGGTCATCAGATCTCCGGTTCTCGGTCAGCGGAGCGTATCTGTTCTGGATTGGCACACTTGGTGGTTTAGGAGGATTGTTTGTAATTCTCCCTTTAGCAGCTGTCCACTGCTGTTTCCTAGTATGAATAGGGGTTGAAGAGGCGCTCTTCCTGGGTGATAACAATGCAGGCCAGCCGGTCGCATCACAGATTTCGGAGCTCTGGGCTCTGCCTGTTATCCGTCCTCCCAAATCCCATGGAAGTGATTTACTCTTAGGCTTTGCACCCAGAGAGTTCCAGGGAGGACTATCACTTGTAGATTTATTACCCGGTACACAGCCCTCCTGTTCCTTGGAATCCTTGTAGCTGCTAACTAGCTGTGAGTTAGCATACCCTTCTCCATTACTTTGCAACACTGGTAAAGTCGTGTCATTCCCACGACATAGTCCATTCAATTCCACGTTAACTTCCAACCGTTGCATTTTCATTTCCAACACAGCCATCTTCTGTATAAGTTTCTGGAAGTCATCTGTAGAGAACGGAGGCATTTTGCTACCATCTAGCTTAAGCTAAATAGCAGTAGCCTACGAGGCTTTAGCTGTTGCTAGGCCACGCTATTGTAAGACTGACGTCGTCGTAAAAATGTTGAAATATGGCTGAAACCCTCCGTCTATTTACGAAGATGAACTGTCCCAGTGATAAGTTAATGTCCAGGAGCCGCTGCTCGAAGTTTTCAGAGAATAAGAATAGGAAAATCAGCATAAAAAGTAAGCAGAGGCAAGAGCAAGCAGAAAAGCGTCTGCACTGTAAGAAAGATAAGGAGACAAAAACAGCTAACAGGATGATGCAGTCAGAGGAAATGGACCTTCAAACGGCAGTACAGCTTGTCAACACTGCCAAAGAGTGTGTTGAGGCCCTGCGCACCGAAAAGGTGTTCACGGAGATGTGGAGTGAGTGCGCAGGAGATGATACTATCCATCCCGGTCCCACCAAGAGAAGGCGAACTCTTAACACAACTTTGGAGGATTATGTTGTTGAAGAGACAGTGGGAGTGGGAACACAAGAAAACCACCAGATGACAGAGAAACGGCGGCTGTTTTACAGCTGCATTGATGCAGTTACGGGAGAAATTGCGCGCCGCTTTGGAGAGCGAAACAGCGCATTCATGGAGGCTATTGCTTCACTCAACCCGGAAAGCAGCTTCTTCCTGGAGCCCGAAAAAGTGGAACCTTTGCTTAAACTGACTGGAACCACGCTCGTTGATGCCGAGTTCATTGTGGCCAAAAAGCTGATTCTGAAACACTTGGACAGCATCACACCACCAGAGGATGGGAAATGGACATTGAAAAACATACGTGGTCATCTCCACACGACGCTTGAGGCAATGCCAAGTGTTCTCCCCGCATGTAAGGTTTCACTTACCTTTGGAGCTTCGACAGCTTTATGTGAGAACTCTTTTTCCACACTGAAAAACGTTTTCAGTGAGCACCGAAGGAGCATGTCTCACACTTGGAAAGCAAATTTAATCCAACTTGGTTTCGAGAAGGACCTGACAAAAAAATGCAAGAATGAGTGGAAAGAGATGTTGCTGAGGAGGTTCCATTCATCTGGGAAACGTCGGCTACAGCTTTATTAGGCCCACCCTGAGTACATCGTGTAAGTAGCAAACAATCATATCACGATGTAGACTAAGCCGTTGTTTTCAAGCTTTAATGTGAACAAAATATTGGGTATTTTTCAGTGTGTTCTTTTCACTGTATGTTTGCCAATATATTTGTTATTTGTTATTTGTTTAATTCCACTTCTTTACGCCAAGAGACACACCTCTGCTTTAAAGTAGTTCGTGCAAACTGATGTTTAACATGTAATTTCCTCCTGATGCTCATCTTCTGAAATTAAAATACATTTGCATATTATATTTGTATATTTTCTGGCAGTATTCTGTTTTTTGCTGCATAACTAAAGCCGTCTGATATTCTATTACATCTTTAAATGTTAACAGCCTTGACTCAATACATTGTTTTTTCTTAGTACATTATGCAGCATTCTCACAGCTTTTTTCTGTAATGTAATTAAATGTTTTAAATTACTCATAGGTAATCCATCCATGGTGCTGAAGTAGCGTTATTTTTGTGACTCTATCCTGAGCACATGTGTACATTTCCTATGCTCAAAAGGTTTCATTGCGTGCACAAACATAACGCCTAAATCTGTCTGCAACTATATAGGCTATGCACATATGTTACGTTAAAATGGGGTGGGGCCTGGTGGTCGGGGGGTGGGCCCGCCCTGATAAATGAAATGCCCGCCCACAGATGTATGTCTGCCGCCGGGTCTGGCGGGGCCTATGGGGATCTTCCATTTAAAGCAGTGTTTCTCAAACGTTTTCATACCAAGGACCACTTAACCAATAAAGAAACACTCGCGGACCACCTAACTCAACAAATATCCAAAATCACATCGTTTTTCTAGAACAGATTACAAATCGCCTGAAAATGGTACAAACAAGTGGCAACATGTGTGATGAAGGTGTTGCTTAAGCTCGCTCCATTGCGGAGATATTCCCGCAAGAGTGCGGAAAACTTAAATTTATTTATTTATTTAAAATGTGAAATTTTACCAATATACTCACGGACCACTAGGGGGCGCTCACGGACCACCAGTGGTCCGCGGACCACACCTTGAGAAACACTGATTTAAAGTGATGTTTAAAACTCAGTTAATGGGGCTCAGTTAATGGGGCTCATTCACTGGCGCTTCCACAAACAACAACCAACATAATTATTACATTCAAATGAAGTACATTATTCAAGTTTACATTAACTTTGGATAATAACACGGGAGAAATTAGCAGAAGCGCTCTCTTTTCCTCTCTCCCTCTCCTGACAGCCGATCGATCGGAGCATCCCTAAATGAACTTAAAGCTGAAATCTTTAACATACCCTTTTGTCACAACAGAGAGGTAAATCGTAAAAGCACACCTGTTAAGAAATTGAAACATGGTTTGACCCCACTTCAGAACAAGGTCTGGTTGGCCTTCTTCCATGGTTCTCTGGAGAAGAAGTGCCGCAAACTCAATAAAATACACCTTGCGTCTGAGCTTCATCACTATAGAAACACACACACACACACACACACACACACACACACACACACACACACACACACACACACACACACACACACACACACACACACACACACACACACACACACACATAGATAGATGTCAATGAACAAGACTAAATATTCATTACAAAATGATCTGAGTATGTGCAACGTACCGTCCAGATAAGCTTCCTTTAAGGGGCTGTTAGAGATCAGATCATACAATATGGTGGGATCCTCACAGCCAGTCAGTGGGCGTGCAATGTCTGCAGAAAATGTACAATGTATAGCTTAAGAGAAACTGTAATATCTTCTATTATGCTTCACAAAGTTATGTAATTGGTAGCAGAACTATTAAAAAATTGACAAATTGCCAACGTTAGCTTTTTTTTAAATAGGGTTAGAAAACGTCTATTTTCCTAACTGTATCAAAGCTGTTATTACTTATTGAATAGCAGGCCCTGGCAACATACCACATTTTTTTCACAATATACGCTTTTTTTTTTTTTTTAAATGAATGATATTTGTATCTGTGTGTGTGTTACCATTGTGTTCTGTGAGAGCTGCTTCAGATGGGCATTCTTTCTTGTTTTTCTGATACAGAGCCTTCAGTTGAATACCTATCTTCATTTCAGCCTTGATTGCAGCATGATCTGCCCTTTTCTACACACACAAACCACTTCATTTATAAAAAGGTATAACCGTTTATCAGCAAAAAATTGTATATTTTTAAGAATATGTACATATATAGGGTAATCATTTTAATTATTTGAATGATGTTAAGTCATTTTAAGAGTTAGGCTTGATTATGTGTCAGTCACAATTTGTTTATATCTTTACACCCACAGCTTTATTGGTAAGTCCACTGATCTGCAGCTGGGCTTCGTAGACCTCTTGGAGCAGCCTGCGACCACAGTCCATCACCACAGAAGCCATGTGATGCTCTCTGAGCACACGTAATGCCTGGCCAGGGAGGAATAGACATTACTTTGTTCAAGGCGCCTGGTTAGTTAACATTTGGGATATCAAGGTGTCAAGGTGGATGAGTGTGACTACTAAAATAAAAATAGTGAAGTATCTTTACACTACAATCATGGCAAAAAACGCCTCAACACATCTTGAAAAGGTTAACTTTAAGTGTGTAGGTATATTTATGTTAAAGGTTCAGCATGCAGAACATTTTATTGTGTAAACACACATAAAGAGATAATGTTAAAACTTGCAGACACACCTTGGAGAGGTAGTAGGTGATGCACGCTATCATGTGCATAAATGACTCTGATGTGTTTCCAGTCCCGTTTTGTTTAAAGAGTCCTGAATTCTCCTCCAGAACTATCAAGCATTTGTTCAACACCTGCACATCAAAGCACAGACGCATGCTTTTACACACATTCTTATTAACTTTTTACAGTTTGTATTATGTTACAGATTATAGACTTCTATGGACGAGGTATATTTGCAGACCTGAACTACTTGGTCGCAAGTGATCTGATGGAAGATCATTGGTGCTAACAGGCCGTAACAGCTGACTGCAGCTTGCACGGCAAAGCAGCCGTCGTTCAACCACATGGCCAGGTCCATGGCCACCAGCATTCGCTCACACTCTGCCAGTCGGACTTCCTGCATACACACACATCATTTATTTATATCCATGTTCATTCAGAACCTGTCACATCAATACAAGCAAAAAAACAACATATACTTTCACATTGCGATATTGCTAACAATGATTACTTTCATACTAATTGTTGTCTCCTTGTGTAATTCAATTTGGAAAATAAATACACACTATATTGTACTTGCATACATCTCTTTCCAGATTAATTTATTTTACCTGTTCCCAGATAAACGCTCCACCGTCACTAAATGAGTCACAATTTAGCGATCCCTGCTGAATGTTTATCTCCGTCTCAATGAAGATGGAAGTGAGGAACAGCTGACACAGGTGAGGAGAGGACAGTAGCAGGGTTTGGACACGCAGCCTTCAGTATGGTGAATGGAGAAAGAGCGAAAGGAGATTAACAAATGTAACAGTGTACTTTGGCTTGAGCTGTGGGGACATGTGTCCTTTCTCACCCTGTCATGGCAAGTCTTTCCTGTGTGCTGTGGGCTCCAGAGTCGGGGTCTGTATAGTGGATCCACAGTTCTCTGCAGGCTCTCTTTGCAACATCATACTGATTCGTTTGAAATGCAACCTGAGGAAGGAGTAAAAAAATCCATAATCCTGCTTGTTCTCTGGCTCTGTGGGAAACAGTGTTAGGGTATCCATCAGTTTGGCATGGGCTGAAATCCTAACAATGATCAGCAACTGTGTGATTACATTACATTACATTGCATTTAGCTGACGCTTTTATCCAAAGCGACTTACAATAAGTGCATTCGACCAACAAAATACAAACTTGAAGAAAACAGAATCATATAAGTACATCAGGTTTCATAGAGCCAAAACATTTCAAGTGCTACTCAACTGGCTTTAGATAAGCCAGTCCTTTGTTAGTATATAAGTGCTTTGTTAGCAATTTTATTGCTCGAAGTGGAGTCGAAAGAGATGAGTTTTCAGTCTGCGCCGGAAGATGTGTAAGCTATCTGCTGTCCTGATGTCAATGGGGAGCTCATTCCACCATTTTGGAGCCAGGATAGCAAACCCACGTGTTTTTGCTGATGGGAACTTGGGTCCCCCTCGCAGCGAGGGTGCAGCGAGCCGTTTGGCTGATGCAGAGCCGAGTGCACGTGCTGGTGTGTATGATTCAGGGTTAATCATAAAAACACCTACTGGCTCTCAAACCGACACCCAAATAAAGCAGCATGTAAAGAAGAGTTTCCATTCCAATGTATTGGTGCTGAACAACTTGTCCGTCAAAATGTGAAATTCCCTGAGAAACGTCAAATAAAATTCCGTTTTTTTTAACTTAACTAAATGTATAGGAAGGTTATATGAAGAATGACATCATCAATGCCTTTAGATGTAATGTTTTGTTAGCTTTTTCCTGTTAAAAAAAGGGATTGGAGATCCCTAGTTTGTGTTAAGGTGAACGTTTTGGACAAGGGCTCTGCTATTCTTCATTAGGAGTTTCTGTAGCACAAGAAAAAGCACCTGGAAAAAGCAAGTAATGAGGAATGTAAATTGATAAATTGGGAATCTAGCATACCTGTGCCAAGTAAGCCAAAGTAGAGAGCAATGGTACCGGCAAGGACGCCAGCAGTGGAAATGTTGAATCTCCTATGCTGTTACCCAGGAGCTTTCCCTGGCTGTCGTAGGCTGCTACTGCAAACACATACTTCTGATTTTGCTGCAGCCCCTCAACCCTCAGCACGCTCTCCCCAGATACTGATGGTACCTGAAATAACAGACTTAATATTATGGGCACATACTAGATCATAGAAGTTGAAAACATGTGTTGTGAAAGAGATCAATTGTACCCAATTTCCAGTTCCTGGCAGGCTGCAGTCCCCAAGGCGGACTTTCCAATTAGTGCCCTCAGCCGGACGTCCGCAGAGCTGATACCAGTAAACCTTGAGAGACACAAGAAGAAATGACACAGAGAAAATTATAAAAAAAGTAAAGAGGTGGGGTTTGGGTACTGTTAAACTAACTAAATTCAATCTCACCTGTTCCTCTAAGTTATAAGGTGCTGGGGCAAAGGTAAAGGAGAGGTTGGTGCGTGAGAGCAGGATGGGGGCAGGTGGAGGGTTTTCTTTCTTCTCCTTCGTTCCTTTATCTTTATTTTCAGCTGGAGTCTTACAGGTCGAGATATACAGTTTCCTTTCTTCCACCCCTGCTTTCTCTATCAAGGTGGAGGCCTCCTGTTAAGAACATGGAGAAGCTTGTTGAAATGTCATTGCACTTGAAGAAATCTCACCTCAATCACCAGTCATCAGTAAAAGTGGCTTGTATTGTAGTGGCTTTAACACTAGAACCACCAACGGGTCAATTTTACCCACAGCTGTTTTTTGATTGTAGATCTATGTAACTTTTTTTTCAATAAAATATTAAAGTCTCCCAGTCCGTGACTTTTCCTGAAAGTGTGTTATGTAGCACCCTCAGTTGTTAAAAATTGCCATTTATACCTATATCCGCCAACGGGTAATATTTATCTCATAGAAAATGCAGCGTAAACATGACGTGTTGCTATAGCAACGCCTTTTGTCTACTGCGGTTCCTTATAGATAGAGAGATAGATTGAGAGATAGACAGATAGATCGTTATAGATAGATCAATAGATAGTTATAGATAGATAGAGAGAGAGATAGAGAGATTTGTATCTAAACAAAACACAAGTGTAACACCAAGCGTTTAAATCAGCACTGGTAGCGATATTTTATACTTCATGCTATCTGCACAAACGATATCACACGAACAGCTGAGAGTCCACACTCCACAGATTCTATTGGTATAAGTTTCATCCCTGTGCGATCAAAACTCACTGTTCTACATGATAAATAAAAGAACATTATACCTTGAAAATCAATAGCAGGTACATTTGACCCGTTGGCGGTTTTAGGTATACAGCGACCTCTGGCGGTTCTAGTGTTTTAATACACATTACTGTGTAGCATGTTGAACGTTCTGACTGTGTCTATGAAAGTGTGAACGAGGTTTGTAACCTCCAGCAGACTCTGGGTTTTCTGGCTGTCATTTGGCTCCATGTCGTTGTGCGCCAGCAAGGCTTTCTGGATCAGGAAAAGAGCTTTGGACCCCTTGTTCTTCTTGATCCGATTCAACAGTTCAGACTCTTCAACTAGACACAAGCAACAAAGGACCAAGACAAACCATAAGCCATATTAAAACCCCATTGTTTGTGTCTACAAGTAGCCTAGGCATGTTTTATTGGAAAGGCTAATTATTTCTCAAAAAACACAAACAAGTAAAGTGAAACTGACCTGCATTCAGCAGCAGTAACTTCAGAGAAGCCCTGTGGTGAATGATGTCCAGTTCTAGATGAAGGTCTGAGGCCAGCAAGAACACACGTTTGGACTGAGTGTGTTGAGAGCTTTCAATATCTGATTTTGCCTCGGTTTCCACTTCTTCTTTTTCCTTCCCACTTATTTCACCTCCTTTATTTTCCTCTTGCAATGATGTCAAAGAAGATATAGGAGTTGATGGAATGAGGGGACGACATTTCTATCCGAAAAAACAGTTTTTAAAGTTCAAAGGTTTTATTGTCATATGCACAAAGCTACAGTGTAGAAATGGCAATGAAAATGTTCTGACCTGAGCTCCTCCAACAATCCAACATATATAATAAAATACAAAAATACAAAATAAAAAGTAGTGCAAAAAGTCTATATACATGTAAATAGAATATGATATGTACAAGAACAGAATATGAAATAAAATAATGTAAATTAAGACAAAATTAAATACGGTTTATTGCATTGATAACTATTTATATAAATAAGTAGATTGCAAGATGACAACAGGAATGTTTATCGGGGCACTTAGCAGAGCTCAGGTGTTTAGCAGTCTTATGGCCTGTGGGACGAAACTGTCCCTTTAGTAACACTCATCCAGTGTATTATCTCATTCATGGATTTCTGAGTCTACTCAAATCTTGTATTCTGTTAATTCTTGTTATGTTCTCATCTTACAATACAGTTTAATACAGGCAAAACCTGGCTTACAATGGTCTTAAATGAATAAATGTGAGACTGAGTGGAGGACAGGTAGCATACCTGCATGAAGGCAGCGTCAGTGATCGCTGAGCAATCTTGAGGCGGCGATATATCTACACCCTTTACCAGGGCATCAAGACCCTGCTCCACCAACACACACACTTTCTGAAGCAGCCCTGTACTTGAACTCTACAAGCACACAGAAAGACACACATTGACCCAATATGTCGTTGATTATTTTTAAACGTTCACATACAAACACACGTTATATCATAACTATTCATATATCGTTTGATGCTCATTATCCACAGTTAATCCTATCACATACCTCAAGAATAGAGAGTGGCTTCCCACTGTCACAGTTCACTTCACGAGATCCTAGACATTAGTCATAAAACAAAACAAATTCAGCTCTGTATGTGTGTCCATGTCAGTTTACCAGAGTAATATTCTCAAAAGGAATACACGATACTGTACAAGAGATGCATGATTTTAGCTGTACTACACACTAAAACAGGGAAACATTAGAATGTAAATCCTTACCAGGACATTGTTTGCTGGGTTCAGCTGCACTCTCTAGCAGTGTGGCCAATGTGAGAACCATCTCTGCTGTTATTATGTAGTCCACAGTTGGAAAATCACAGGCAAAAGCCACATCACACAGCATAGATAGACACCACAGCCACTGCAATGTTTTACACACACACACACACACACACACACACACACACACACACACACACACACACACACACACACACACACACACACACACACACACACACACACACACACACACACACACACACACACACACACACACACACACACACACACACACACACACACACACACACACACACACACACACACGTAAAGAAATCAAATAGATGTCTATATTAAACATACTGTCATTTATTTCTAATATAAGCTTATGTATGATTTCTGACCATTCAAAATAAACGTTACAGTTAAGGCTATAGAAAATAACATTTGCTCCTCAGTAATGTTCAGTAATGTGTTGTGTCTCGTCAAATTTGTTAGTTATGTTTATGTGTTATGTCTGTCTTTTCATGTTATTTCACGTCATGTCTGTCTATTTATGTCATTTCATCTCTAGTCAAGTCCCCGTGTTTCATGTCATGTCTCGTTTTCCATTTCCTGTTTTATTTTGTATTTTCCTCTTGTCTCTCATTTCCTCCCTTTGTGTGTTTTCCCATCCTCGTCAGCGTCTGCCCCGCCCCTGATTGTTTACACCTGTTCCCACTCACCTCATGTTTAAATAGTCCTGTCTTCCCCTGTCCTGTGTCAGTTTGTCTTGTTTGTTTCCATGGATGGTCGTGCCAAGCCTCAGCAAAGAGAGGATTGTTTTCACTCATGTCAGGTTTTGTTATTTTTTGCAGACTTAAGTTAATCTTAAATTCTCTTTTTGTTACGCTTGTTTTTTCCTCCTTGTGAGCGCTTTTTGTTTAATCCAGTACCTACTCTGTTAAGAGGGATTTTCTTTTTTATTGAAATTAAAAATAAATGTTTTGCTACATTCATGACTGTCTCTGGGTCGTGCATTTGGGTTCTCCAGTTTGTGTTAAGATTGTGACATAATGCATACTTTTAGAATACATACCTTATCGTAATGATCCAACTTTTCAAGGTAATGTAGAAACTCTAAGTTTGGCATCTGCTCCCTTTGGATCACCAGCCTCACTTGACCCCAGAGAAATAATAAAACATCCGCAACCAGGTCTTCATCCGGCTGCACCTCCTACACAAACACACACAACAGTACATAGAGATTATAAATGAACTCTTCCTCTACCTGTATCCCAGTCCTTGGCAGATCAACCCAAACACAAACAGCACTTACAGGAGCAGAGGCACACACAGACTTGTGGAGGGTGTCTACCAGGCCGATGAACTCATCACTCATTGAGAATGAAGATTTGTGATTGCCTGTTGGAAACAACATGACAAAATAAATTCTGAGATCATAGAAATCAGTGTTCAGTCAGCAGAGGCGCGGGAAGGTATTTTGAGTGTGGGTGCTGAAGTGCTGTCCGATGTGCTAATTACGCACGGGGGGGGGGGTGACGTTGACATACACTGAGCAAAACTACACACACACAGTGCATAACAATGGACTCCAGTGCACGCTATTACGGGCACTATAGAGCGCGAACACACACACACTATTGAGATGTAACATATTATTTTAACAACAATGTGGAATTTACATTCATTGAAGTAGGCTATCAAGGCATTGCTAATTCCTGGCTACATATTACACAGATTCTGCGTAATAATTAGACCCTCCAGAAAAACGCGATTCTGCGATCGCAGAATTTACCGCATAATCAGCAAAATGGCGCAGATTTTTAAAAGGCCGCATATTTATCAAAAGGCCGCATAATCCCCGCATTTTTCCACACAAAATTGAGGGAAAAAAAAGTGAACTCGTCTTGACGTGAAGTGATGATGATGATGACGGGACGTCATCAGCTCGCGCATCACAGAAGATAAACAACACCGTAGAGTGAACGTGTGGAGCTCACACGAGAGTTTCTCTTCACCAAGATGAACAAATCTAATCCATCTCATTTACCAACGAACATTTCTGCTAAAAACCGGGCAAAGCAGTACCCCGATGTCTTGCATGAAAGTGGGGGGAAACTATTCTGCACCCCGTGCAACTGTGTGTTGGAGCATAAGAGAACATCGACGGTGACGACCCACTTTGATTAATTCAAACATTCGAACATGCTTTCTGCTGCTGCGGAGAAGAAAGCCAAACAACTCACGTTCACCGAGGCATCAACCTCCAAAACCCTTTCGAGGGCTACAAGAAACGAGGTGAGAAGCCTACAAGATTGAAGCTGGTCAGATAACGAACATGAAATTAAAACAGAATGAGGCGGAGAAGTGTGTGTGTGTGTGTGTGTGTGTGTGTGTGTGTGTGTGTGTGTGTGCGTGTGAGAGAGAGAGAGAGTGTGATTAAAATAGCCCAATTGCTTTTACAATAAATAAACATTGAATGTGTTTAATTGTATAGTAAAGGGGTTTAATGTTAGTGGCAGGTTGTGTGTGAGAGAGAATAAATAAATAAGACATCCCAATATTTATTTTTTCCGCATATTTAGCATATTTCCGCATATTTCACAACTTCCCGCAATTTCACCGCATAAAATCACATAAATCCCTGCATGTTTGATCGCATAATCAAGGATTTTTGCCCGCGTTTTTCTGGAGGGTCTAAATAATGCCCTGCCCCTGCATCTCCTATTTCAATCTTTTTAGCAGATTTAGCGTTTTTAGTGAGAAAGAATTCCGAGATACGTTTTTGCGCCATGTCAGTTACTTGTCACTTGTGTTGTGAGTCATGTTAAAAGTAGCCGACTAAAAACGAACAAAACACTTTCTTTCCACATCTTTTTTATTTTTCTTCCCTGAAGCTAAATAATTTATTATATAGTTTAAAATTATCATTTGAATAATAATATATAATATAAAATATATCTCAGGCACAATGAAACGAAATGAAAACAAATATATAAAAAAATAAAATGTGCAGACAGAGGAGCTCCGCCTGCCTGCCGCTGGTGTTGCAGCGCCCTCAGCACCCCCCTTCCCGCGCCCCTGTCAGTCAGTCAGTGATGAAGCAAGACAAATGTTGGGCACATAATCAATGCTAGAATATGAACAGTCTGTCAGTTCACATTTAACGGGAAGTAACTTGGTTAGGATATAGATTTGACAGCAGTTTGGCAACCCAGAAGGTTGAAGAAAAATCAATGAAGTCTAGGATGCAACAATACATTTCTTATGATTATCCTTTATAGACCATTTATTTTAAACCATTATCTAAATAAATGTTTGAAATATCTGGCACATCGTCATTTTTTCTACCATCACTCGTGTTGTCCTCTTTCGGATGGCCCCTCTGGGAAGACAACAGAGTGTTGAAACTGTCAAATAAAGCAAGCTCCAGCTCTGCCCTCCTGTGTGACTGACCTTCCACACCCTGGCACAGAGAAACAGTAAAGACACTTAAGATTATCCAGAAACACAACACATTAAATTGGAAACATAAGAATATAGAGACTGATAGAAAGTAATATATTCCCATTCTTTGAATAAGGAGATGATTGTGTGCTACTCACAGACAAAACCTGCAGCATCTCTCTGGCAAGTTCAGTGAAAGCATCTGTCTGCTTGTACTGAAACAACATCTTGATAAACTTCATCGCAGAAATGAAGGGTATTTTGTTTCCTCCTAACAACACAAGACATCACATTACTTCATGATAAAGTGAAGGACATGTTGATAGAGTGCCACAGTGACGCGGAAGTAAACTCCTTCCGGTTCCTTCGACAAAAACGCAATGCAATTTCTCCATAGGATTTTGGAAAATAGCTGGAAATAAGGTCTGTGGTCGACACACATTTAAGAGACGGGTCACGTTTTGTTCAGCCGGATAATTTCCACATGTCTACCCTACTTTTATAATTTTCTAATCATAAATCTAGTCGCCAGAAGCAAAATGCTAACGTTATGCTATAAAACGAACTACAGCAGGGTCGCTGCTTCAACGTCACGCCAACTTAAAGGTGGGGTAGGTAAATTTGAGAAACCGGCTCGAGATCGCTAGAATTTGAAAATACACAACCGGAGAAAATCTGCCACTTCCTTACAGAGCCCCTCCTCCAACACACACGAACGCGCACATGACCAATGAGGGCACGAGATAAGTTTGTGCCCCGATGGGAAGCTGACAGGCAGGTAGGCTATCCAGTTATTATAGCAGGGCCGACTAAAATAATTGGTCGTGCTTTTTTAACAGTTTTACGGCTTCCACAGATGACATTTTTTTATGGATTTGTTGTCAAAGCACTTAAGATATTCATTGCTATCGGGATGTTAAGAGCATTCCATGGAATATAACAAAAAGTGTATCTCGAGCCGGTTTCTCAAACTTACCTACCCCACCTTTAAGATCCATATTCAAAAATACAGATTCTAAATTGTACAAGTTGAAGCGTTTGTTTTAACACTTTGAAGGAGGCAGGTACTTGCTTTCAAGCAGAACACGGGGGGGGGAAATTAGCGGGAGTGTTCACGTGTTCGGTGTAATGACGTACAACGGCCTCGACAACTTCTGTAGTCCTATTCAGCCACTTGTTAACAACCATCGTTTTTCAGACACGTAAACTCTTCAAAAATCACAAGTGGGGTCACTGTTGATGTATTTAATGTCGTAGAACAAAACGTGATCTGTCTCTTCAATTTGTGTCAACCACAGACGTTATTTCCAGCTATTTTCCAAAATCCTATGGAGAAATTGCATTGCTTTTTTGCGAAGGAACCGGAAGTGGTAAAATGCTAACTTACGTCCGGGTTTTCGGATGCGTCACTGTGGCACTCTATTGAAATGTAAGAAACATTTTGAGAAAAGTGACGAACCTGCAACGGCTAAATCCAATAAAGTGGAGGTTGGTGTCAGTGCACTGAGACATCCAAGAGACTCGCTAGAAGTTGCTGCTCCTTTACATCAGGAACATACAAGAAAATAACTCAATACACAAATCCCTCACCTTAAACATCCAATATTTTTTGTTGTGTTTGTTTAACCTACCAGATAATATACTGATGCCAGCAGACAGGAGTTCCAGGATCACCTCCTGCAGCTCTGGTTCATCTGGCATCCTCGTATGCAGGGGGCGTCTGGTGCTGTCCCAAAGGGCTTCCAAAATGCCCAGGAACTGCGCTGCACTGCTGTCGAACAGGCTCATTAGCATGCGCTCTGTTGTAGTACGAGGCCATGGCCCCTACAGTAGATACAAGCAGGCATAAAAGGACAATTAAGATGAGATTTAACACTGAATATTTTGATATTGATAAGAGAATCTTTTTACATTGGGTATGTCCTTCAAGGTGCTTTTGATTTTATGCCTGAACGAAGTTTTGGTTCTTCGTCTGGCCTCAAACGGTGAACGTTTAAACAGCATAGCAGCAAGCTGAAAAAACAACAACAAACTGATCACTTTGGGATAGAAAGTCAGAAGAAAGTTCTGCCTCTTCAGAGGGCAATGTTCTGCATGTGTCTTTGTAAATGATCGTCCTATTTAAAAAAATAATTAAGAGTATGAACTGTATTTTTGTGTGGAGGAGTCTCTTGCCTTGATGGAGGCTTCTTTGTAAGCTCTCTGAGTCTCTCTGGTGACAGGAACATCACTCTGCTGTTCCAGCTTTGCTAACTCATTGATTTTTCCAAGGGCTCTCCTTGCAAATTTCTAAAAGCATTTGAAGATACACAAACAACCCCACAAATGGTGAATCAGACTTTCACATACATTCAGATTAGTAAGGTTTTCTATGTGGCTTCAATATGTTGATTATATCATACAAGGCCATTTATTTTGAACAGTGCATTCTTGATACAGCAGATTAGTATTATAAATCAGTATTATAAGGTCCTAGGTAATAAGACTGTTAGCAGACTGGCTAACAGAAAACGGCAAGCAGATAAACGACAGCTGATAGTTGGCATTTATAACTTATTATTTCAGCCTTTGAATACCCTTTAAACATGGCAATGATTTTGTGCTTTTATGTGTCTTATTACGTGTTTCACCTCCGCTTGAACAGCAGCCTTGTTGTCATAGTAACAGTGGCAGACAGCACAGTAGAGTGTGACAATCCACGGCAGATACTGAGCAGTCATCAGAGGAAGGGACAGCTCTAAACTGATGCTTGCCCATAGAAGGTACTCCAGCGCCTGGACAGGATCATAAATGGTGGAATAAAGGTTCATGTCACAGACAATTGTATCTACATTATAAATCACATTATTCATTAGGTAAATGTAACATTCATTCTTAGGAGTTGTTTGTTGTCTTTCATATAGAGGCAGAGTTTAAGAACACCAACAATGTGCAGAAGAGTGTGAATCCCTGAAAACTCAGACCATTAGGGAACACCAATTCACACAGTCTCCCAGTGCTTGATTATTAAAGACTTGCAACATGTCACACCCCATTTCACACCCTGTCCTATCCATTTAGACTAGAGTCTAAATGTCTATCAGACACTTCAAAAACATATTTTGGAAAAGCTCTTAAAGAGTATCAACAGATACAGCAGTAAAGCTCTCATTTATCATACAGTATCTCCAATTACCTGTGCACTACAACTCTTGGTCATCAGGTAACGGCAGATGGTGTAGATGTGTAAAGAACCTGGAAAACAACAGAAAAAAAGGTACATTGTACAGTTAAATACCAAAGCTTGCAGTATCTTGTAATTAATAATTTCAATTAAAAAATCCAGACTTTTTTTTTTTACATTATTTTCACTAAATCTTGCACTTCAAGACAAAACCAACATATTTCTGGGAATCATAGGATAGTGTTAGGAGGTTACCGCTTTGACTATACAAAATCACATAAGATATGTTTACAAAGTAAGCTTAGTAGTAACCCATGCATCTAGAACCTCAAGCAAACACCCTTTTGGACATATACTTAAAATCTCCTCTTCTGTCTCACATTGATAACTTGCTTTGTTCTTCCAAAAGTTTCTCTCAAAATAAAACCTGAAAACTGGACAAAACTATTTAAGTTGTACCATTATATAGTTGCCAGCAGAGATGTTCGTGTTGCTGAACAGCCTGCATCATGATCCTGAGGAAGTTCAGTACATCCAGCAGTTTACAGAGTCCCTTTTGGCTGAGGACACTGTGCCTTTTCTCCAGTTCAAATATACACAGGGCACAGCCGTGCATTGCACGGATCTACAGAAACAAACAGGCACATGGACATAGCAAATATATCAGGGTTCAGGAAAAGAAAAAGAAAAAGTTCAAATATCAATGGCCTTCACATTACAAACATTTGAGTAATATAAAACAACAAAGTACAAAAAAGCATGGTATGCAGTGTACCTTCATGGCAAATGTATCTTGGTCTGTATCAAACCCTTCAGGGAAGAAGTAGGCCATGAAATGCTTTACATCTGTGATGTCAGTTATTCTCACAGCAGCAGAGTTGAACTGCAGCAGGTTGAGACTGTATCCCTGCCAAAGAGCTGACTGGTACAACTACAAATAAAGAAGAAAGGGAAGGAAGGTATATAGAAAATGTCAATTAGTGTTAAGTTATGCAGTCCCAACAACCAATGGAAAACTGTCTCCAATACTCAAATATATCACATCAACACACAACTTACCATGTATTATGAAGCTAAAGCATTTGTCACAACCTTGAGTGGTAAATATCTAAATAAGCATACGATGCATCACATCCATTATCACATCCAACACTGACCAGGGTTCCTTTCACCAGTCTGCATATTTAGACTGATACAATTATGAAGCTAGAATGTAATCTATTTATGATCAAATGCAGTAGGTAAAGTAATTTAACTACAGAGTGAAAATCATATTGGCAGGTATTGAGTAGTAAGCTACTGAGACTTACCTTTATCCCAAAGAGAAAATCTGCAATCTGCAACATGCGCTCCTGGTACAACTTCCAAGGCAGTCGATGTTTGTACTTTTTCCATATGTCCATTTGGATTTTCATCCTTTAAAATGAAAATAATCAAATTAAAAACAAAAGGGTAAAGATAAATGTCATTTGTAACCGATCTGACAAGGCAACACTGAAATATCTGACTTGATATGTATGTTGTAGCATCTGTTTCATTTAAAAACTCAGACCAGGATTAATTTTATTAAAAAATTATTTTAAAAGAATAATGTTGTCCAAAACAAATGGTGCTCTTAACAGAAGAGGAATTAAAAGTGTAACTGATGCCTTCATTTCTTTTTAAATATTTACTAAAAACGGAGGCCCACAACAATGTTGTTTAATTTGACTGGTGGTGGCCCAGCCTAATGTTGGGTTGGCCACGCAGCTGCTGTTACACGTGAAGCACGTCCTGCGTGTTTGCTAGCTTATGAGTTATGAAAAAACGTCATAACCCAAACAACTGGCTTTGGCCATATTAGTAGCTGAAAACGACTAAAAACAACTTTGCTGAAACTTTTTTCTTCTGGTAAAGCTGCCATTGATGTAGCAATGCCAACGGTTACGATAATAAACAGCAATAATCTAGCCGGCTAACTAGCACTTTAATTAGCCAGCTAACACTATGTTATCTCACCCTTTAGCATGACAGTCGTTGTTTCGGCTGGTAGAGGAAGTGGATCGTCTCATCAGCGTTATAAACGAGTTTATGTCTCGTTCAAAAGTTAAAACAACGGGGTTTCTATTATTAACTTTCCCGTAATATGAAGCAGGTAAGTCCATTTCTGCGGCCACAGCCGTACCAAAGTAACCGACTTATTTTCAGCCAAAACCAACTGAACTGCTCCAAGCCACAGGGACTACCACATCACCATGGTAACGACGCTAAACAGTAGACAACCGCAGGTGGAAGGAATAAGAACTCAGATCTTGTTCATGAGTAAAAGTAGAAGTACCAGAGTGTAAGAATACTCTGTTAAGTAAACACTGTAGTATCTATGATTCAATATAAATGTAATATAACATCTTGTAGAAAAAATGTAGTACAAAACAATCGCTGTTTCAAGAGGTGGAAATAGTACTCAGATACAGAGTAGGCTATAGGAATAATCCGTTACAAGTAAAAGTCCTGCAATCAAGAAGTGACTCAAGTACAAAATTGTGAGCATCAAAATATACTTAAAGTACTGAAAGTAAAAATACTCATTATGCCAATTGCTCCATTTCCGAATAATATATATAATATGTTTTGATTATAATTATTGATGCATTAAAGTGTTATCAAAGCTGGTAAAAGGTGGAGCATGTTTTAATTAGTTAGTTTGTGAATTCACTCCATGTGAAATGAAAGTCTTGTTCATGGGTTGATTATAAATCACCTCATTAATCCAAATCTCCACAGTAACTAAAGGTATTAGATAAAAGTAAATGTACAATATTCACCCCTGAATTGTAGTGGAGTAGAAGCACAAGGTAACACAAATGTAGTCCCTCAAAAGTGTACTTGAGTATATCTACTTAGTTACATTACACCACTGCTCACAACATTAACGTTAATTGTCTAGGGGAAAGTACCTACGTAAATCATTAAATAAGTGTTTACATACATTTTCACTAACTAGTTTTACATAGTCATAGAGGACGCTGTAAAAATAAGTTTCATATTATTATTGTAAGGGAAACTTCTGCAGCAATGGAGAGTCAGGACTCAGAGAGACACGAGGAGAGTTGGAGCTTTGATGTCAAACACTGATATTTATTTACAAGTATCGGTCGGAGAAATTCACATCACAAGTCACACAGCCAGAGATTCTGACTGCCCTGATGGTTTGCCATGTCAAATATGCCGCGCCTCTCTCTCTCTCAATAGACCTTTTAACTAGTTCAGAGAGAGTAAACAACATATTTGGGGAGATAGACTAAACAGCTGGGCACCCTGAATCACTTGCGCCTGACCCTTAATGGCCTCGAAGCCAGTGTTCCCACAGCCGTAAACCATTTCGTGACCGAGAGTTGAACTGGTTTATCAAGATAGCTGGAGCCTCCCATTCCTTAAGAGAGATAACAGAGCCAGGGTTGGTCGTAAACGTCAACACACAGAAAAGGTTAAATATCTAGGAGTAAAGACAGAAATATTCCCTCACAATTATGTAACTTTTCTTTTAATATACCGTTAATTACTGTTTAGACCTCTATATTCATCATTAACGTTATGCAGTGAGGCCTAAATGTTGCCTATTACATTCCCTTTAACATTACATTTACTCATTTGCATTAACTGTATAATTTATTTAAATAGCTTTATTATATGCTTTATTCATGTAATATATAACTCTTATTTTAACTTGCATATTTATTTAGTAATTCTCATTTTGACCTTTTTCCTTTTTATACATATTAAATTACTATTGTTGGTGGAATCCATGTCACTTAATAAATAAGCAGTCTAAATTTGAACTTCAGCCACTGTAGTTTCTGTGTTTAAGCTGGATTTTTGGGTTTGAAACTCAGTGGTAGATTCTCCAAAAACTAGAAACTACAGCTTAAAAAGGAAATATGACATAACAAATGAAAAAGGCATGGAAGTCACGAAAACAGTGGTTATGCAATGGTTTGAAAATAAATCTGTCTATAGAAAGTGCTTGTGGATACCACAGATTTTATCTGACAGGAAGGATGGAGCAGGGACTGAAATGAATTTGGTAGGCACAGCTGTTGGACAGTTGGAAATGACTTCATATTTTACATCTGAGCTCATAGCAAAATGATAGAGTCTCACCTAATGCTGTCCCATACAAACTCATCAATTCCATTTCCCATTCAACCTCACATCCATTCTGCACACAAACCTAAAGCTTCTGGCACTCAGAGCAGGGCAGGCTAATGCTCTGGCAGCTATTCCTCAAACAAACACAAACACATTACGATCACAATACGGAACACACACAAATCCAAGACCAGGGGGCATTTCCTGTATATTGAGTAGGGGGGGCATCAGCCAGTAACTCCCGAAGGCCAGTGGTCCACTCATGACTGTGAGAGAGAGAGAGAGAGAGAGAGAGAGAGAATAGAAGAGAGAGAAGAGAGAGAGAGAGAGAGAGAGAGAGAGAGAGAGAGAGAGGACCTGAGAGAGAGAGAGAGAGAGAGAGAGCATACGCGAGAGTAGAGAGAGAGAGCGAGATAGCGATAGATAGCGCTCGAGAGAGAGAAAAA